ACAAGGGTAGTACACCACTGAAGAGCCCCATAGGCTAGTGGTTGATGCTCTGGGTGGGGACTCAAGAGACTGAATTCTAATCCCAACTCAGCTGTTGACCCGCTGTGACACTGGGCAACTCCTGACTCACCTCTGTTCCCCCCACTCATTGTCCATTTAGACCAGCGAGTCCCTGGGAGCTCGCCCAGGCCCCGCCGTGCCTTCTGAACATTCCCCCACATTTTGGGTACCTCCGATTTATACGGTCAGATCTTCAGGATGAATCTGTCTTACTCTGCGTTTATGGGCACAACAGGAGCCCCAATCTTGGATGGAGTCTGTGCAGCGCCTGGATAGCTACCTATCTTTCAACATACATGCCCAGTCTCTTTCCACTCACTGGAAGCCAGACCGCCTTGCTACTTTGGTCAACTGTGTCAAGGAGTTAGCTTGGCTGTGTGGCAAACAGTCAGCAGCTCCGGCCCTCAGGCAGGGGCTAAGGAAACATGTTCAACGGCAAACCTCCAGGCTCCTGCCTCTGAGCAGCCAGGGAGAGGGGGAGACTGTCACCGGCGAGGTGGGTGGCAGGGGGGACGCAGGCTCACACTCCACTGCATTCCAGCCCAGGGCCCTAGCAGTGGCAGAAGACCCGCTGCTGTGTCAGTGACCGCAACACACTGACATTGGCTCTGGCAGTGTTGCAGCCAGACTCGGGTTGGCTGCCCCCAGGCTACTTCCTATCTCCCCCTCTAGAGGTACCTGGGTCCAGACGGCATCCTCCACGGGGTCACACACCATGGGCTCCTCAGGATGGCTGGCAAGCAGTCGGCCTGGCAGTTCCTCAGGGTAATGGACGAGCGGTAGGCTTGGCAGCGTCTCTGGGCTCGGGCTAGCATCAGGAGTTGCCTGGTCTGGCCAGTCCTCGGGTCGGCCGCCAATCGCCGTCATCTCCCCACTGGGAGCTATGCCACAAGTGTCTGGTTGCTCTGGTGGCTAAGAGCCAAGTGAGCTCTGGGGTCGGGCTTTTATACTTCCTGTCCTGCGCCCTGACCTCTGAGGGGCAGGGGCAGGGGCAGGGTTTGCTGGCTACGCCCACTTTGGTGTCCAGAGAGGCTCGTTCCACTCCGGGGCGGCGGGGAGACAGACCGCCTCGATACAGAAGCTTCATTTAAAATTAAATTAAAATGCAGAACCCCCCGCCTCCCCCGGACTGGTGGCCAGGACCCGGGCAGTGTGAGTGCCACTGAAAATCAGCTCACGTGCCGCCTTTGGCACGCGTGCCATAGGTTGCCTACCCCAAGCTAGGTGGTGGGATAAGGCTGTGTGATTGATGCTGAGTCCTAGAGGGCAGGTGTGATGCTGTCTGCATAGAGAATGTCTGACACACAGTCTCCTGGCAACTGATGGCCTGGGCCCCTCCCCTGCAAGGCGCCAACTCAAGGTGTTGGAGAACAAAGAGATCAGGGGGCCTCCTGGCCTGCGGAAAGAGACAAAGGACAGAGGAGGGGCTGAAGGGGGTTGCAGTTTGGAGCTGGCTGGGAAATAGAGGGAGGTCCAACACTGGTGTCTGGGCTTCCTTCCCCACAAGACGGACATGACTGAGGGGTCCTGTTTTCCATACCTACAAGCTCTGCTTTGACTGTGTTCCTGTCGTCTAATAAACCTTCTGTTTTACAGGCTGGCTGAGAGTCACGGTGAATCGCAGGCAGTGGGGGGGTGCAGGACCCTGACTCCCCCACACTCCATGACATCCAGCAGCAGCAGGACAGATTCTCTTCCAGCCCTCTTGGGTGGGTGTTGGGAGTGGGAGGAGCAGAGGGTAATGTGGTTACTCTTATAACCGGACTTTTAGTTTCCAGTCAGCACTGCTAACCGGACTCCTAGGTCCCATTTTCTACTGGAGTTTCCAGTCTAAAACTGGATACCTGGCAACAGGGGTGCCAGAAAAGCCTGAGTGGGGGAGGAGAGGCAAGCAATCATTTTTAAAAGTGAGAGGGCTAAGCCTTAAGCGGTGGGAAGCAAGGGGTGGGTGGGCTAGGGAGTGGAGAGGAGCTAATGAGCAGGGCCATGTCTGCTGTACTACCCAGGTAGGTTGGAGACTGCGGGGTGGCGGGGGAAGAAATCAGCTGACATAGTATCCCCAGCCCAGGTGACGTGACAGCCAGTGATGGATTTAGAGTTAGAGGGGCCCCCAGGCCCTGTGCTCATCTTCATTTTGGGGGCCCCTCCTTGGGACCCAGCCAAGAAAAAGAACATTCTCTTATCTCCCCTGACCCCCATTTTTCACTTTCCCCCCCCCTTCATCCTCCTATAACTAATAGCAAGTAAATGAAAATAAAGTGAGGTACCTTGATTGTTCTTGTAGTCTAACTTCTTTTTCCACAGCCCACTTGAAAAATCGCGGAGGGTCTCGACGGACCACTTAATGATCCTTCCAAATATTGTAAAAAAACATTGGGGTGCGGGGTCTGACCAGGAGCTAGGGTGAGGAAGGGGGCTCATGGTTGGGGCAGGAGATTGGGGTGTGGAGTGCTTACCTGGGGCAGCTCCTGTTTGGTGCGAGGGGTTCAGGTGGGAATGTGGGGGGTGCAGGAGGTCCTGTTTGGTGCTCAGGATGGGGGTGGGGATGTGGGGGTGTTTAGGAGTCAGGTAATGGGGTGCGGAGGGGCTGGGTATGTGTGGGGGGTGCAGGAGTCAGGGCAGGGGGTTGGAGTGTGTGAGTGGGCTGCAGGGGGCTGGGTAGGTGTGGGGGGTGCAGGAGTCAGGGCAGGGGGCTGGAGTGTGTGAGGGGGTGCAGAGGTCAGGGGGCTCATGGTGTGTGGGGTTTGCAGGAGCAAGGGCAGGGGGCATCTGAGGGGGTGCAGGAGTCAGAGGGGGCTGGGGGAGTGTGGGGCTGCAGGAGTCAGGGTGGGCAGGGGGCTGGGGGTGATGGCAGAGAAGAGTGGGCTAGGCCAGGGCCCCTTTGGACCGTGGGCCCGGCGCCATGGGAAATCCGGTAGTGGTACCTATTGGGTTCTGGGAAGTGGGCGCCCACTGCTAAAGGATCCCACCCCCCAGCCTAAGGGGAGGATCTACAGGACCTGAAACCCAACTGATTACGGGGGACAACTAATCAAATAACAGGGACAACCAGGTTTGTGTAGAAGGTCCTGGCCCTCTCGCACATCTCCGCCGGATCCGTGAGGGGGGTGCGGTCCTCTGCCAGGAGGCAGGTGATGTGGTTCTTGGCCCCCCTCTTTTTCTCCAGACCGTAGAAGCGGGAGCCGCGATCCATCTCCTGAAGGAGGCAGATGCAGGACTGAACAAAAACACCCCGTGCCCGATAATCTTCGGGGGCCCGGAGCTCCTCCCGGCACGCTCCGCAAAGGGATGGATCCTCAGGGCTGGCGGCCAGACGCCTCTCTAGCTCTAAGACCTCCTGTTCTAACTGCTCTATCACCGCATCCCTCGGTCGGCTAGCGCACCGGGTTTAGTCATGGGAGAACAGCCAGGCAGGCACCTTTCCTAGATCCCACCACCGCCGCGCCGAGGGAAAGGCACACTGCTGCCCTCGCCAGACCAGCCAGAACTCCCGGAAGGACGCCACGAAGCCCACATCCTCCAGCAAGCTGTTGTTAAAATGGCAATAGGCCGGCCCCAGCCTGTCCGCACAGAGAGAGGCCGTCACGGAGTCTAGATGGTGATTTGAAAACGGGGCCGGCCAGATGTTGGAGGAGTGGGCCCATGAAAGGTGGAAGCATGACAAGTAGATGCGGTCCAACTAGGAGTGGCACGACCGATGGGCTTCCACCCGGACATAGGTAAAAGTTGAGACATCATCAGGGTGGTGGTCACGCCAGACGTCCACCAGGGAGTGAGGTTCGACAATCTCCCAGAGCTCTGCTTGGTCCCAGAGCGGTCCCACTCCTCGAGGGTGGCGTTCACGTCCCCGCCCAGGACCAGGCACTCACAAGGATCCAGAGCCGAGGAAGGCGGACGCCTGCTGATAAAAATGCAGCTGCTCCGGGCCCGATGTCGGGGCAGAGACGTTAACAAGTTTGACCACGAGCCCCTCCATACGGACCCGGAGGTGCAGCAGGCGGCCCGGCACAGCCTCGGCGACCCCAAGCACCTCGGGCCATAGGTCGGGGGAGAACAGGGTCGCCACTCCAGCCGTACGAACTGTGAGATGGCTAAAGTAGACCCTGTCCCCCTACTCCAGCCGCCAGCTGTCTTCGGCGGCCGGATCCGTATGGGTCTCCTGCAGGAAAACCACAGAGTACTCCCCCTCCCGAAGGAAGTAGAGCACCTGGCTCCTGCGGAGTCCCACCCTACAGCGCCGGGTGTTCAATGTTGCGAAGATGATCGCTGCCATGAGGAGGGCTGGGGGGGATCCTCACTGGCAGGGTTGCTCACGGTCCCCATTGGGCCACACAGCAAACCGTGACCCACCCCGAAGGTGAGCAAGGAATCAGGGAAGAGGCAGACCCACTGGTAGGCTGCTGCACCCTGCTTCCCGGTCCTTTTACCCTCCCCCATGAGGGCCCTCACTGCCCAGAGGATTTAATGAAAATCCCTCCATCGCTTGAGGGGGAGCAGCACCTTATTGCGGGAGCCACAGACGTCTTCTAAAAACTCCTGCAGCTCTTCTCGCAGTGTATGGGGGAGGTGGGGCCTCCTTGCCCAGCATGGGGCAGGAGCGATGACTGCAGGCAGGGGGGGGAGGGGGCCCTGTGCTACTGGAGGGTCCCATTGAAAAATGAGAGGGTCTGAGGGGGAAGGGCAGGCTCAGAGTCAGTCTGCCCTGGCAGTGAGATGGGGGGGCACTAGTACCCCGCTGCAGCAGTTGCTGCAGGGAGGCAGCATGGAATTGCTCTGCTCCAGGTCCAGGAAGCGGGGGGGAAAGCAAGTCAGGGCCAGGGGACACTCGGGGGAGGTGGCAGGTGGGGTCGGGGGGAGATTACCCTGGTTATAAATCTCTGTGCCAGTGGCTTTTTTTTCCCTCCACCACTTCTTGCGCCCGAGGCAAGTGCCTCACTCACCTTGCCCTTGTTACAGCGCTGGAAGGGAGGGACGGAGGTTAGGACCACACGGACACCCAAGTCCTCCAGCGCCTCCAGGGGGACGAACATGCCCCCTACCGCCAGGCCCTTCTCCACCACCTCCTGGGCGGCGGCCTCCAATGCTAGGAAGAAGACGACCTTGCCATACATTTTGGAGGCCACCACTATGGCCATTGGCCCCCCACCCTCGCCAACGCCCGCACATAGGTCTCCACGTCGGGCGAGGCGGGCACCAGGAGGCAACGGAGACCGTGCTTCCTGGTCAAGGTGGGGAAGGGGCCCAGGCCGCTATAAATGATAGCGGAGGCGGTGGTTGGGAGAGATGACGTAGCAGCAGGTGGGGGGCCGCCGCCAGCTGGGCGTACACCCTGGGGGCCAGGGGAGGGGCACCCACAGAGCTGGTGGCGGGAGCAGCGGGAAAGGACATTGCGGCCGGTGGCGGGGCTGCGGCAGTGGGGGTAGCCCCTGCCATGGAAGGCCTAGACTTCTTGGCGGGGCTCTTTCCTTTCTTTTTGCCCTGGCCTTTTCTGCCGGCTGGGGGGGCTCCCCCAGAATCAGAGGGGGTGAGGGACTTGGCAGCAGCGGAGGTCACCCCATAGCCTGCCGCTGCCAGCGCCTCAGAGGGGGCAGTGTCAGGTGGTTCGGCAGCAGCGGTTGAGATAGAGGCTGGGGGGGATGTCGGGGGACAGACAGGGGAGGGGAGGCGGGGCCTGCCCCAGGGATCCCACCTGCCGTGTCTCCCACCGTGATGAGCGGAGAGGGAGGGGAAAAAACACCAGAGAAAGGGTGGGGGGGAAAGGGGAAGCAGGTTAACCACTCCTCCCCGCTAGGCTGCAGGTAGGGGAGGAGGGTGCCGAAATAGGGGGGGCAGATAAGGGGTGTGTGGTCAGTCACCAACACAGGATTGGAATCCGGCTCCTCTAGCTGCACTAGCGGAGGGGAGGGGTACAATAGCAATGAGGTGTGCAGTGTAATAGGGGCAAACTCAAACAGCTGAGAGGCACAAGCGCATGGAAGGGGGCATGGGTGCACGAGGGGAGGGGCCAATCAAGGCAAAGGGGGGCCCACAGGGAGAGGGGGAACAACCAGGCTGTGAGTGGGGCAGAGGAACCAAGGGGCTAGCTTCAGAGCTAGGGTGGGACAAACAAACAAAGCTGCAGAGGGAGATGGGCAGGGCAGACAAACAAACTGAAGCTGGGGAGGGGCAAAAGGCTGCAAGGGGCAAATGGGGCAGGCAGCAAGAGGCAAAGCTGGGGGGCCTGTTGCAGAGGGGAAGGGGTCAGTCCGGGGTGGGTACGTGCGCCTACGAGTGCTTGCGCAAAGTCAATGCATGGGCTAGCTGCTGCTGCTGCAGACCCAAATGGTGGAAATGGGCGTGGCAGGCCAGGCAAGCAGCTGAGTCCTAGAGGCAGGAGCTGAGGCTGATGGTAAGTGGATGTGGGGGGGAATACAGATGGACCAGGCTACACCCCCTGTGTCCCCACAAACACAGTCTAAGCCCCCATCACAAGAGCACAGTTCAAGAGTTACTCAGTCAATGGCCCCCTCCACTGTGGTCTCCAGAGTCCTGTGTGCTCCCCTAGCTGCCAATGGTCCTGTTAATCCTCTTTCTCCTCCATGCTCCAGCAGCTCCAGGACCCCTGGTGGCCAGGCAGAAAAGACCCCTCACAGGTGGTAGTGGGGACCTGGCTTCTCCCTCCAGAGGTGGGGGGAGGAGGAGTTGGGCAGCAAGGCCCCCCCATCCTTCACTCAGCAGTGGCAGCAGCAGTCCGGGAAAGGAGCACTCCAGCCAGCGGTAATAGCCAAGGAAGAGAAAGAGGGAAGAAGAGCTCCAACCAGCAGGGCAGCCTAAAGATACTGAGCACTCCCTGAAGGGTAAAAAACAGCCCTGAAGAGGACTGTGGCTGGGGAAAGGCTGATTGGGGAAGCAGCCTCAGCTGGGGCCATGCCACAGTCAGGCCGCAGCTGGCCCTATAAAAGCGCTGCTAGCTGGTGTTCAAGAGTTTCTCTCTAGCTGTTGAGGGAGATGGGTCTGGTTGATGGGAGCTGAGCAGGGTATCTAAAGTGGAGCAGGGTTGGGGAGCCCCAGCCTGGAAACCCCCCCGGCTACAGGCTATGTTAAAGGCCGAGAAGGTACAGGGGTTGCAGAGAGGACAGCCCAAGGGTAGGCAGAGGCAGCAGGTTCAAGCCCTCCTTGCTGATGATGAGTAGCAGTTATACTGCAGTCTGCCCCAGTGAGCAGGGGCTAGATGGTGACTGGCAGTAGCCCAAGACTGAGGTGAGGTTGGGATAGGGGGTTGGGGATTCCCTGGGGAGGGGAGACCCAGTGAGAGTGTGAGATACTGTAGGGGGCAGAACCCCGAGTGAAGGGGCACTGGGGTCTGGGAGGGACATGGTGGCCAGTGGCAAGTGAGCCACCGGCTTGCAGAGGGTGATCTGGAGGCTGGTGAGCTAATTCCCTAGACAACCAGCAGGAGGTGCTGTGGCGATGAATCATCGCCCCGCTATAAGCCCCCATTCATCTCAGCAATGGGTTCTCTCAGATGCTCCATGGAAGATAATTTTAAAAGTCTTTCAGGCTCAAAGCAAGGCACAATCAAGCCCCTTTATATGGTAAAAATGGCTGCAGGCAATGGGACTTCCACCTAAGACACTAAGCCATGTGGCTAGGCCAATGTTAACCCAGACAGATGAATAGGGCTCTCCCTGGTTGCAAAGGAGGTAGCTAGGCTGTGTATGTTGGAGGCAGGACGCCAGGAGAAGCAGTTCTGAGTGTGACCCAGGGGAGGGCTTTTGGGGCACAGAGCTTGCAGGGCGGGTGGGGAGCAGGGGCAGATGTGGGGATTCAGGAGCAAGGAAACTGCCTGCTGCTGTTAGTGATCAGGGAAATGGTACCCTGTAAATGAACAAGGTTTCACCAAATAATTGACCTGACTTGTATCATCCATTCCTCATGCTAACAGAAACAACCCTGCAAGGCACTGAATATTGGACTAATGCTTGGGCCAAAAGAGCAACAATAGAGAAGGGAAGAGCAGGACTCCTGGCTCCTGTAATCATTCAAACAAACTGCATTTTACTGCAGCTGAATGCAAGGTGACACATCTAGCAGCAAGGAAGGAAGACCACCCCTACAGAATGAGGGCCTGTGTCCGGGAAAGCAGTGGCGACTCTGAAAAGGAGCTAGGGGTGGACAAACAACTCAACATGAGCTCGCAGTTCAATGCGGGTACAAAAATGGCTCTTGTGTTCCTTGGCTGTAGAAACGGGAGCAGTGAGGAAGAGCAAGGGGATGATTTTACCTCTGTGTCTAGCATTGGTGAGACCAATACTGGAATGCTACGTCCAATTCTGGGGAGTGCTTTTTAAAAAGGACGCTGAAAAATTGGAGAGGGTGCAGAAAAGAGCCAGAGAAATTATTCAAGGGCTCAAGAAAATGCCTGAATACTCAGGCTGTTTAGATCAAGAGGTGAGTCTGACCGTGTAAAGCACTTTCATGGGAGGAAAATACCAGGTACTAAAGGGATGCTGAGGATGCTTTCAGCCCAGTTCCAGGTGGAGTTTAAACCTAGCAGAGAGAGGCAGAACAAGAACCAAAGGCTGGAAGCTGAAGCCAGACCAACTCCAGTTAGAAATAAGACACCTTTATTTCAAGTGAGAATGATTCACTATTGGATCAAACTCTCAAAGGCAGGGGTGGATTTTTCCATTTCCTGATGTCTTCAAACCAAGGCTGGATGCCTTCCTGTAAGGGCTTTAGCCAAACCCAAGTCATTGGGCTCAGTGCAGGGGTATCTGGGTGACATTCTCTTTTCTGTAGGCCTTTCACAGCCCAAGGCCTGGTCTACACTATGACTTTAATTCGGATTTAGCAGCATTAAATCGAATTAACCCTTCACCCGTCCACACAACAAAGCCATTTATTTCGAAATAAAGGGCTCTTAAAATCGATTTCTGTACTCCACCCAGACGAGCGGAGTAGCGCCAAAATCGATATTGTCATTTCGAATTAGGGTTAGTGTGGCCGCAATTCAATGGTATTGGCCTCCGGGAGCTGTCCCACAGTGCACCATTGTGACCGCTCTGGACAGCAATCTGAACTGGGATGCACTGGCCAGGTAGACAGGAAAAGCCCCGCGAACATTTGAATTTCATTTCCTGTTTGCCCAGCGTGGAGAGCACAGGTGACCACAGATAGCTCAGCTTATCAGCACAGGTAACCATACAGGCCGATAATCGAAAAAGAGCACCAGCATGGACTGTATGGGAGGTACTGGATCTGATCTTTATATGGGGAGAGGATTCAGTGCTAGCAGAACTTCATTCGAAAGGACGAAATGCCAAAACTTTTTTGAAAAAATCTCCAAGGGCATGATGGAGAGAGGCCACAATAGGGACTCAGATCAGTGCCGCGTGAAAGTCGAGGAGCTCAGACAAGCCTATCAAAAAACAAAGGAGGCAAACGGTCGCTCCAGGTCAGAGCCGCGTACATGCTGCTTCTACGCCGAGCTGCATGCAGTTCTAGGGGGGGCTGCAACCAGTACCCCACCTCTGACCGTGGATTCCGAGGCGGGGATAATATCATCAGCTACACCTGAGGATTCTGCAGACGGGGAAGAGGAGGAGGAGGAGGAGGACGAGCTTGCGGAGAGCACCCAGGACTCCGTTCTCCCCAACAGCCAGAATCTTTTTCTCAGCCTGACTGAAGTACCCTCCCAAACCAGTATCCAAGACCATGACCCCATGGAAGGGACCTCAGGTGAGTTTACCTTTTAAAATATAAAACTTGTTTTAAAAGCAAGCGTTTTTTAATGATTACTTTGCCCTGAGGACTTGGGATGCAATCGCGGCCAGTACAGCTACTGGAAAAGTCTGTTAACGTGTCTGGGGATGGAGCGGAAATCCTCCAGGGACATCTCCATGAAGCTCTCATGGAGGTACTCCAAAAGCCTTGCCACAAGGTTTCTGGGCAGTGCAGCCTTATTCCGTCCTCCATGGTAGGACACTTGACCACGGCATGCTTGCAGCAAGTAATCTGGTATCATTGCATGACAAAGCCTGACAGCGTA